TTGCCATCTTTCAATGAATTTCATAATTCCTCGTTCATAGAAGGATCCATCTTTATCGGTGAAAAACTAAACAAGATGCTGATTTACAGTCTCATCTGAATTAAACGTTATGCAAGGAGTTTTGAAGAGAACGAAACAAGTGGAAGTCTGACGGCGCAAGGTTAGGCAAGTATGATGGTGTAGCAACACATCCCATCCAAGCTTCAATAATTTTTGACGGGTGGTCAAACTTGTGTCTCGCGTTGTGGTGATGGAACACAACTCCTTTATGATTCACGAGCTCTGGACGTTTTTGAATGATGGATTCGTTCAAACTGTCCAATTGCCGACAGTACACATTCGAATTGATTGTTTGGTTCCTTGGTAGGAGCTCGAAAAACACGAGATCTTTAAAATTCCACCACACTGAGAGCATAACCTTCCTCTGATGAATGTTTGCTTTTGATGTCGTTTGTGCGAATCATTACGTCGGGACCAAGACCATTTGCGCACCACATTGTTGTAAACAATCCACTTCTCATTACCAGTTATCAATCGCTTTAAAAAAAGGATCGTTTTCCTCACGTTTAATGAGAATATCGCAGATGTTTATACGTGCCATCAAATGAACTTCTTTGAGTTCATGAGGAACTCAAATATCGAGCTTGCTTACGTACCCCAGCTTCTTCAGGTAATCGTGAACGCTTGAATGATGGATGTTCAATGTTTCTGCAATCTTTTCGTGTCGTGTAACATGGGTTTGACTCGATCAATGCCTCTATTTTGTTGTCATCAACCTCGGTGGGCTTCCCTGACCGAAGAGGTCGTTGAGGTCAAAATCACCAGCACGGAATTTCATAAACCATTGTTGAAACTGACGTTCTTGTAAAGCATTGTCATCGTAAACTTTACGCAACTTTTCATAAACTTGACGCGCGTTCTTCCTTTTATGGGTAGAAGTAAAACAGTAATATATGTCTAAAATGCATAGTTTGGTCTTTCATCTTCAACTTGTTATAAAATCTCCAAAACTCAATCAAATCGCTCAACTTTTTTTTTAGCATGAAAAACTAGAATTGTTTGAGCTCGAATCATGCTTGATGCAATCTCTTCTGTCGCGCTCCAGGAGGATTATTTATATATTTACCAATGGCGTTAGAAGGTGTCGCCGCTGTAGTCCGATGCATCCATCGAGAGAATAGGACCATCATCTCTCTGGAGTATCGGTCGTGGGGATTCGAGAGAATACATACATATATATATATATATATATATATATATATATATATATACACATATATATATATATATATATATATATATATATATGGTATATTGTAATATACGTATGTAATGTGTATCATTGTATTGTTGACTGTTATTCTAAATACGCATTTGCGTAAATATCATCACATGCCTCGGTAGTCGAAGGGACAAGATGCCTGCCCGGTAAGCAGGAGATCCAAGTTTGATTCCTGGCTGAGGTGGTATTTTCGCAAAATAATTACGAGTTTTTCACGACTGGTTCGTGATCGGACCTCGCCGTGACGCACACTCTCCCTTCTTATTTGGGAGCTATCAAATGACATAGCAATAACATATGCGAATGATTCTAGTACTTCCAAAAATGAACTAACGCCATCTGTTACAAAAATGTATTATGATTTTTCCGACAACCCAATATTATTTACTTTGAAAGTCAACTATTTTGAAAATCGATCGAACTGCGTTGTACCACTACTACTATCGAATGATTATCAATCATTGTTAAAACTACTATCAACGTCAATCAAATTATTTCCAACTACTCTTGATGCGCATTGAGGGGGTATGGGTCTATCCCTGCCCGCCGCTGCCCAGCATGTTTGCTATTTCTTTCATATGTATATTTATCGCACCTGAATCACAGATAGGGTCTCTCCTTCTCCTTCCCATTGCATGCTGTCCGCCCTTCCTGTTACGTTCTTTTTTACGTTAGTTCTTTTGGCGTTCTTTCTTTTTCGAAGATCTTTTCTTAATTTTATTGTTTGGATAATAACATTATTTAATATTGTCAGTCTGCGGGAAAGGATAAGGTTCGCCTTCAATAAATACAAAAATATATGATTCAAGCGGATTATTTTGGATTATATTCATCTGATTTTTATTATTTAATAATAATATTGATAATATCAATATTATTGTTATAATAATAATAATAATATCATAAGAAATGATGGAGAAGGGAAAAATAAATAATTTAATAAATTAATATATTTCTTCAGTATTTATTTTTATATTTTATTAAAAAATTTTAAATTCGAAAGAATGATATTTTTCAATATACATTTCAATATACATTTTCAATATACATTTTATTTCTCATTTAATGCATAGTGCATAATATTATTTACAGCGTAAGATATTAATTCGCACTCTATACGTAAATTTTTATCATAAATCTTGTGCAAAACTTGCATTGCATTTATCGGTGATATAATTTTGACGTAAAAAGTTCACAAATTGTTTAAATTTTTCATTTATGCCATGTATATTTTGACATAATCAAATATATGCATGCTCGATGCAATGTTCCAATTCAAATAAAAATAGTACGGTTGATGGCTTCATGTACAAGCAAGTATCGCGCAATGTCAGTTTTACAATATTATTTTTATACATTTTAACGAGTTCTATAATCAAATCGTGAATTGTTAATAATGAAACCGCAGTCGATTATACGAGTTGCTCGATATCCGCCCGTCTTTCAATGAACATCTTTTAGTTGCATGAGGCAATATTATCTAATTGCTTCGATTATCGCCAAGAATCAACTTCCACATAGGATTTGGTCCCACATTGATTCCAATATCCAAATATTTATATGCTGTAGATGTCAATGCGAATCTTCTCTCTAAAATAAAAGCTATATAACGAGGCGATGAATTTTGAGAAGACGTATTGTAAGAAAAAAGATTACATATAAATGAGCTGTAGGAAAATTGTCTTGAGATTCTTTTATGAGAATAAAATTTACCGTTGCTTGTATGCTTCATCTTGCTGAATTGGAACGTAATACTTCATATTTTCACACATTTTTCTTGAAATTTTGTAGTAATAAGAATTATTCGTTTTTTCCATAATGCGACTAATATAACATGTTAGAACTCAATGAATGCTGTAATAACATTGTCTAGAGTTCTTTATATATATATATATTCTCCCACTATTTTTTCTGTGAAAACAATGTGTGTGAAAACAATATTCTCCCACTATTTTTTCTGTGAAAACAATGTGCTATCGATATCAATTCCAATGTTATTTTCTTCAAAACATGGGAATTTATTTATCTTAATGGATATACTAGTGTAGGTACCATTAGATTATGAATTATATAAGAAGGTACACAATTATCTATTAAAATTCGATAAAAAGATTTTTCCGGGAAAATAATGCTCTACCGATATCTGTTCCAATGTTATCTTTCAAAACATGGAATCTACTCATTTTACAAAGGCTGAGATAAAACCCACATTATCAAATACGCGTTTTTTCAAAACATACCTTAAATAATGTAGTAGCCCTCATAGTATATAAAATGAGAAGATTGAGATCATGTCACTAGTGAAGTTGGAAATTCCGAATGATACATGAAAATATACATTGTCTCTCGTGGAAATGGAACTAGAAGATATAGCAAGAGGATGAAAGATAGTTGAAGAAGATTTTTATTACGTTCTTACGGATGATTCGTGTTATGAAAATGATATGACAGATGAAGAGACTGAAAAAATCTAGAGACTTAAAGCAGGCTGAAGTTAATGCTCTGAATGATTCGAAAAAAATGTATGCAATATATTTTTATTACACTGAAGAAGCCCTCATTAGTAAAAAGTATTGCTTACAGTGCGTACAAATTAGTGAAATATTTCCAAGTTTTTGCACCAGTCGAAAGCATGTCATTTGTCAATGTTATGCATTCATCTGTGGTAAATATTGTTCGGAATGCCGACATTGTTTCAAATAATACCGTATAATATGTGTCCTATTTACACAAAGTGAACTTCTGTGAAAGATATATACCACGAATATAAAAACAATATTTTTCAGAGTATTTAGTGACTATAAAAGAGAACATAATATGGAGCAAACAGAGTGTGATTTAATAGAGCAGTCCACTCGATTGAATACGTCGAAAGAATTTAACACGTGGAAACAACGATGTGATCAGTTTATCAAATCGCTGAATGAACACAACCGAACTAAACATCTGCGATTATCAATCGGTGTGAGACAATCGGTAATCGCACGTATCGCGCAACTCAAAAGTTTGAAAGATTCAGTGCGCGAAAGATTCGTGCATACAGGCGCCGGATATAGTGCGGAACTTCGATGGAGTGGAATAGATATGGCTTTCGAAAGTATATTGACAAGTATATACTTTGAAAGCATATTGACAGGTGCGGTAATCAATTCCAAACACATTGAACTTCATCAATTTCTGAAGGATGCACAAGAAATTGTACTCGAGCATGTACAAAGTGTCATACGGAAATATGTCAGGATAAATACTATATTTAACGGCGAATTTGTCGCGGGTGCAATGGCAAAAACATGCCAATAAAGGTATCGCTACGAGAAACTGAACTATATCAGTGCTCTGATTTGCAAAAGTGGTATCAATTATACATTATCGAGCGTATCTTGGCATCGCTTGAGGAATTTCAGGAACGCAATAGAGGGTGGGCTTTATCGCGTATATTAAATTTGATTGTAAATGTCAACAAACATAATCTCATGCATGCGGATTACAACATCGAACTATCACGAGAAATTAAGATGAAGAGAGCGACGATTAACGTCTAATCTATGTGCATGTTTCATAATGCATGTTTCACAGGTCAGTGATGGCTCCACATCCCGCAAAAACAAATACAGATCGAGTATCTCGTATCCTCGTATCCTCCATATTCAACATATCCTCCGTATTCAATTGAATCTTAAAGACATTAAGTTTCCAATGATTTTAAATCAAAAAGTTTGAGAACCTCAACGACATCTCAGTCAATGTATATTGTATCGAGAAGGAGAAGAAACTCTTGATTCTTTCGATACGGCTCACTGACAAAGATGAACAAGCATGTAAATTTATTATACTTGTAGGACGATGACAACGAGGGATATTTCGTGTGGATAAAAAATCTGTCTCGTCTCGTGAGCTCTCAACTTAGCAAAAAAGAGCATAAGAAATTCTTTTGCGATCGGTATACATTTTCAAAAATAATGAAATTCTTTTTTCATAAGAATAATAAATTAAATTAAATTATAATTTTTTTTTCTTTTTGCAGATGTTTGAATAATAAATTAAATTAAAAT